TTTACATATATAAAATTACTAAAAGTCCAATAACTATGTACTTAAGTTTATTAATAATATATCTACAATGCTAAGAGTGTTTGAGTATAAAGAATGTCAAGAAATATATCCAATGCATACTAAAGTATCTGAAATATAAAAAGTATCGGAATGTTCAAAGACTAAGTTGTCCAAAAAAAAAACAAAAATATTTTTAGATTTTTATAATATTCGTAAACTTATTATATACTGAAATACTTGAACAATAAGAATTTTTAAGAAATATATACGATACATAATATATATTGAAATATCATTAGGTAGCAAAAATATTAAGAAATAATGTTAAATAACACCCTTATACTAAAAAATATATTGTAGTACCCAAAATATAACAAATTAAATATATCTAATCATTTTAAAATATTCAAAAAACACGTTTAAATAATTAAAATACTTTTATACATATTGAATTATTGAAATGTCTTATTACTTCTTACTATTAACTATGATCTATAGTTCAGAAAGATGTAGGCCAAAAGCCGATAATTATTGCTAATGTTAAAGATGGTTGGTTTCATGTGCTGCCGAAGTATGTACCTAATCAGCAAGAGCCGTTGGTAGTGTTGAAGCATATTTGAGAGCATAAAGAATCTGCCATCAATGCCATAATATGTGTGTAGATATATATAAACCATAATCCATGTACATATACATATACATATATATATATATATATTGCGTGTGTATTGAATATAATTTCCATACAAAAACTTATGCATTTACTTCAATTTTCTGTTTCAAATGATATTCCTCTAGGTAGTATCAAGTGATTATGCCCTCTATTAAAAGAAGCCTAGCTACCCCATTAGGCCATTTCTTGATGCTGCAATATGAAATGAAGTCGCTCATCATAATAAAGCCAGACTCACTTGTTCATCACGCTTTTGCAGTTTAATATGATTGCTTTCTGATTTCAAGCTTTCCTTTTAGTAAAATGCTTTCGACAGTGTAGAAATAGATAGATCTTAAACTAATATTATAACAACGATTACATACATGTATGTATACGTGTTTAGAGAAAAAAATTGAGTTATCATGCAGTGAACAAAAATTTGAAGTCTGTAATCTTTTCAGCCAGATTTATATGTATTTTTGCCTGCAAAAGTACTCTTTGTTAATGTAAAACTTATCCAGTTTTGATCATTTTCACATATTCAACTCCGTTCAAATAGCATATAAAGATATATAATCTTAGCCTATAATGATATATATATATATATATTATACTATACTAGCGGACAAGCAACCATTATGTGGAGAAAATGATATATGAATTAGTGACATCAGGGAAGGCTACTAATTGCTAATAATTCAGAAGAATATATATCTACCTAGCAATTGTTGATATTTTTACCAATTGTAGATATCTATTATACTCCATGCATAGAAAGCAAATATATACATGAAGGAACATAGATATGTAGGTGATGTATATATTATCTTCTAATTTTTAATAAAGATTATTTTATTTAAAAAAATCTTATGTTATTCGTAAACATTATACGTTATGTTTACCTTCTCCCTAAAAGAATTATAATATTAAATTTAATTTAGGGTTTTTTTTTTTTTTTTTTGGTTCTTCACACCATTTATTTATTAATTTATATGATCTCTAATAGGATATAAATAATTGATTACTCGTTTTATATCGACTTAAATTTTTAAAATAATCAATTCAATATATCATTTTTAAACTAGATATCTTAGTTCGAATTTTAGTTTTACTATCTTTATTAAAAATTAACTTTATATAAAATTTGGTAAATGTATATATGATTTAAGCTTTTAGTTAGTTGAATTTACGTAGAAAGGAACGCGTTAAAATGTATGTATAAAAGTTATGTTAAAATAAAAATAATTGGTTGAGTTTAGACTTTTGAAAAAATAAGTCTTATCTATTGTTTAATAAATGGTAATTATATGAAGGAATAAATGGTAATCATGGATCTTAATTTCAAAATTTCAATATGGTAGTTTAAGTTAATTATTGTATTTTCAAAAATATAATTAAAAAGTAAAAGTAACTACTACCGAGTTAAGAAGGAAAAGAATAATCACTTCACCTAATTCTTTAAACCCTAAGAAAAAAGTAATTTGTCATGGGGAAGAAAATGCCCACAAAAGATGTGGTAACCATCATTACAAAAAGATTTGAAAAACATGGTGCATGATTTCACAAACTATATTTGACATCATATGCATACATATATATATATATATATATATATATATAAACCTATTAAACTATACATCTACAGTCTCCACTGCAGCAAAGCAAGCACAAGGAATCTTCCCTTTAAATTTCCAAAAGAGGGCACTGTAGTCATTTCAAATGTATAAATATATACACATATGTCAATATATCTCTTTAATCGGCACTATCTACCCCATCCTTAAATTCCCACTATAAATTCACCTTCTAATGACCTCTCACTTCATCATCTCACTTTCAGATTAACTTTAAGCCAAACAGGACAGAGAGAGATAGAGAGATGGGGGCAGCAGGAAACACAGAAGCAAGCATGAAGATATGGAGGTCTCCAATACCATATCTGTTTGGTGGGATAGGTCTGGTGTTATTTCTAATAGCCATGGCATTGATCCTCTTGGTTTGCTCCCACAGGAAGCCCTCTTCTAGGTCACTTAGTCAGGGTGACGAAGAAAAACCAGAAAGCCCCATCACCATTATGGTGGAATCAGCAGAGCCCAAGATTCTGGTTGTCATGGCCGGAGACGACCACCCAACTTATTTAGCTATGCCTGCCGTCACTTGTGCAAAAATTTGCCGCTGCGATCAACTCTAAGTTAAACTTTCTGAGACACACACACACACATGTATATGCTGCAAGCATGAAAGAAGGCTTTCGTGGTCTTTGATTTTGGTTTTCTGTTCTTTTTACTTCTTAGGATTTGCGGGAATACGTACACTGGTGCATGAGTATGAAAGTTCAGAATTAATAAATTATAAATTTTTGCTCAATCAGCATTCCTATTAATTATAACACAAATTTTTAATAAGAATACACAGAATGTATTATAAAATTTAAGTTAATAATCTTTATAATAAAAAAAAAAATAGTTATAACTATCTAACTCATGGGTTAATTACATACAAATTGATATTTCAATAGTATTCATAAATTACTTAGTGAAATTATTTATATATGTGTATATAAGGAAAGCATATATTCAACCCCCGGGAATGGAAACTGCACTTTGATTGCTTATAAAAAGGAGTTAATATTTTTTGGGTGACTTAAATAGCGGTGCCTATTCAATTACACTATTTAGTTTTGATTTGGACCTCACAAATAAAATCCTTTTGTATTGTCATAAAGAAATATTTAACCTTTCATATAGATTATATTAAAATAATTAATTAATTCCTGTAACAGATTATCCGATCATGGCTTCCAATTTCTTGATTGGTGTAGCTTGTTATTCTCATCGGGTGGGTGAAGAAGCATTTCCTTAGTCGCCCAGAAAACATGATTGGAAAACAAGGCATCTAAACCATGTGCATTTTTTCAATCTTTAGTTAACTCTAACTTTGTACATATCTCATCATTTCATACTTTTAGTGGATGCGGCAGCCTGCAAACGCATTTTAACTTTATATATATATATATACATATATACACATACATACATATATCATAGTCTAATTTCAACGGCTCCCTTCAACGTAAAGCACTTTCTCTCACTCTGAATGACGGGAGAGTACATTTCATGTTATAATTATCTCATAGTGGCTTTTAGTTGCTTCTTGTGTGTGTGTGTGTGTGTGTGTATACATATTATGTAGACGGAAACAGAAGTAAATAAAATATGTTTTAATTTATAGTCTCAGTATATTCCTGATAATATATTAATATTTATCTGTTTGACAAAATGAACAGTAGAAACCACAACCTGGGGTCGGCAGCTGCAAAAAGGATTAGTTGCATCCATATAGACAATGAAAGGTCAGTTGTCGAGATACGTGTATTCCACATCATATGCATACACATCTAAGAGATATATATATCTTGTATATGTGTGTGTGTGTGTGTGTATATATATATATATATATAAGATCTTGAATGCAGTCTCCCTGTAAATATGTGGAAATAATTAGAGTTTGTTCATGTGGGATTATGTTTGTGGGACTATTTGGGTCTTTTTGGATTTGGGTTTTATGGCTTTGGGTTCTTAGGCTTAAAACAGCTTTAGAATTAAATAAAATTGAGTTTAGTTTTTAAAATGGGCTGTTGGAAATTGGTTTCAAAATTAAAAAGCCTTCCAACAATTAAAGAAAATTTTAAACAATTTGCAAATGAATCCCAGATGAAAATCATAATCTGACTACTAATTAGTTTCAGTATATATGTGTAATCTCCATCAACAGAATCAATGAATTGAATTTTCAAGCAAATCAAGAATCATAGAAAGCTAATTCTCTCTTTTGCTCTGTTTTATGACACAAATATACTACCTTAACTACATATATACATGTATAATGAATAAAAGAATCATCAAGTGGAGACTACATTTATATATTAGATTCTATACTAGACTAATTCCAGAGTTTTGCCATTATCTTCAGGGCCATCTGCAGGCATGAATCTCTTCCAGAACCTGTGTTGGCTCCAGACAATGAACATGTTTTCAATGGGGACGTTCTTGGTTTTTAGCAAGAAGAAGAAGATGAAGCAGGTCATGATGGCGACGAAGAAAGCAAACATGAAGAAGAGTCCGAACTTCATTCTGCATAGCAAGCTGAGGAACAGCAAAGCAATCAAGAAAGTAACCGAAACCGTAATGCTCTGAGTCGCCGATCGGATTCCCAGCGGCGACATCTCGCTCAGCACCAACCAACCCAGAGGTCCCCACGACCACACAAATGCTGCCACGAATAGACATATGAATATTACCACAAGGATAGCGAACCACGTCGATAGCTGGCTCGTCTCATCGCTC